ATTTGTGATTGCTCAATCCAAAGTTATTTTCTACACTCGGCGCTTAATACAATCACAGAGCCCAGAAGGATCTTAAAGGCCACCTGGGCGAGTGGATCTCAATCTTTAATTTAGACTCCCAGCTGTCTCCGAAAATGCCAGCTCTTTGCTTTCCCTCATTTTTTTTCACTATGGAAAAAACTAGCAGGGCAATTCTTCCTTTCCAAAGACCTCAGAAAGGGCAGAGCAGGGCAGCATGGCATGTCACTATGGATGCCTCTTTGAACTCTCTGGGCCGATCTCGTGAATCACGTACAGGTGCTTGCACACCTAACAGTGCTGATATCACGTGGCACCCTTCAAAGGATCTCCCAGCACCCCGGCTGGGACGCTCCGATGTAATGCATAGCTGGAGGATACACAATTTCTGAACCATCGCAGACAACTGCCTCTCCAGGCTCTTCTGGAAAACCTCCTACGAAGGAGATTGCTTCTCTGTAGGGAGCTTGCTACATACCAAAGCCAGATCCCAAGTAGCATCAGCTTGTGTCGGTTCAGAGATCCCTTCAGCCAGAAGCCAGTTTGCCATCACATCTGGAAATGGCAAACCCTACTGTTATTCCACAGCCTTAGTGCACACGCAATGGCCCCGTGATACAGAGACAGGTGATAGACACGGCCAGGGAAGCACACGGTGACAGGGAGCAAACAGTGGTCCCAGAACAGGCATTTCAGCGTCTCACTTCATTCCAATGTATCCGCTGAGACCCAACCTAACAGGAGGTTACTACTGATCCTTTGGCCTTTATTAGCACTTCTGCAGCCCACGGAGGCGAGCAGGCCATGATGGACTGCAGTGTGATTAACTGGCTAAGGGATAAGCAGCTGTCAAATCTGTTTTTTCACCCAGGTTCAAGCAGCACCCAAACAGGGTCCTGGTAAACGGTATCGCTGCGGCGAAACCCCATGCTGAGCGCCGCAGCGATGGTGCCAGCGATAGGGAAACCAAACCTCCCCTGGGAAATGCCTGTGGAGAAAAGCCCTCCAGAAGCCATGGAGCCCAGGCCTTGTAGTACAGATGAGGAACAGCCACGTCCCCAGGAGACGGGCAATGGCGCATGGTTTTATTTGCTGTCTCCTTGCACGCTTTTTGGGTGCTGGGGAAAGCCAGTGCAGACAGGTCCAAGTCTCAGCTTGGGGGGGCAGGGGGGGAGCGGGGCTTCAGAAGCTGCATCTTGACCACACGCTATCAGCTTTCCTGCTTGAAGGTCATAGCAAAGTGGCACCATCGACTTGAAAGAGAGCTATTTTCAGCAAATACCGTATTTATTGGCATACCATACCCATACCCATACCCCTCCAAAGTTGGGGGGCACGTCTTAAGTCACAAAACTGGGGGCATGGGGATGTTAGGATGGGAGCCGGGGCCTGGCTCCCTCCCAACTGCATGGAGGAGGGGTGGAAACAAGGGCTTAGCCAAAAGTTAGAGATTTAACTCTGTCACGCCACTGCCGAATTGACAGCAGCTTTTGGTTCTGGGCAAGTCAATTCAGCAGAAACTGTGATGGGGTTAAACTTCTAGGTTTTGGCTGAGTAGGAAGGGGAGGGTGAGATGTTGATGGGCAGACTGTGCCCTTGCTCCACGTGGCCAGGATTCAGCCAGGCCTCTGGGAAAATCTTTTTGTGCTTTACCCTAGCACAGTGTGTCTCTTCTTTGGAAGCAGGTGGTAAGTAAGCAAACACAGAGCCCCCCACACCCCACCTTTCATTTCAATACCATACCAAGCATCCCACAATGATCAGCAATGCAATGTAGGAACACAGTTGGATGCAGTGTTTAAAGCCAGACTGGGCTATTGTAGATCAAAAAAAAGCCCTAAGTTGCTATCATCGATTTGGAAAAAAACCCCCAGCAGCTTTCCATTTGCTTTCTGAAATTTGATGTGTGGGTTACCTCTCTCGTTTGGATCGGCAGCAACTGCTGGCTAGATGGCTGCCTCCCAGACAGTCACAGCTGCAGGAAGACAGGGCTCTCATACAATACTCAGCCGTGGGGCTCTGTAGCTATACAGCAGGTTATGTTGCCAAATGCAAGACCTGTGCTACCTTTTAATGGGACTAATGCTCCTTAAATTGGCCAAGTCTTTGCAATACTGACGAAGACTCCACGCAACTTCGGAGCAGGTCTGAGATGCTTTGTTCGGTCACCCTGATCTAACCAAGAACAGGAGTTAAACAATCAATTGGAGAGTACATGCTGCCCACTGCAGACCCAAGGGCTTGTCTGAAGCTCCAGTCCCCTCCTCCCAGAACCCAAAGGAAAGGCACCGAGCTTCAAAGCCACAAGCCTGGTTTTTCACCTGCTCAGTACCAGTATTTCAATAGAAGCTGGAGGCCTTTTGTTTATAAACCGAGCGCTCCTTACCTGGAAACACTGAGATGCCATAAAGGCAGAATCCTACAAGGCCGTGTCCTTTTCCAAGCAGAGTCCCACCGTAAAATACCTGAGGGAAGGTGTGTGAGCTAGTGATCATGAGCGTGCATTCATGGGGAGTTTAGGGGGGAAGAGGGAGAGAACAGGAGCACAAGCTCCTGGATTTCTCCCCCCAGATGTGCCAACAACTGGAAGGGACTTGAACAAACTATGCAGCACTCAGTTCTTGGAAAAAGCCTCCCATGGTTCTCTGGGCATTCGTTTTAACCGCTCACCTACATAACTCCACCTCATTGTGTGCCTGTGTTACCAAGAAGGCTAACGGCTAATGGTCCAGCTCCAGCAGGAAGCGGGGCAAGACCCTTTCCCTCTCCGCCCACCCGGGCCACCCCCTAGCCTGGTGATGAGGGCACTCCCCTGGAAGGTGGGAGATGTGGGCCTGAACTCCTTGAGGCTGAGGCACAGATTGACGCTGGGTTTCTGACTGCAGAAAGGGAAGGAGGAGGATCCAGGAAGCTACAGACCCATCAGCCTCACCTCGGTTGCTGGAAGAGTCATGGAGCAGGGCCTCAAGGAACGCATTTCTAAGGACTTGGAGAAGAAGGTGATTAGGAAGAAGACAGCATGGATTCACCAGGGGCAAGTCAGGCCTGACCAACCCGATGGCCTTCTATGACGAGATGCCTGGATCTGTGGATGTGGGGAGACCACTGGATGTGGTATATCTTGACTTTAGCAAGGCTTTTGATACAGTGTCCCACAGCATTCTTGTGAACAAGTTAAGGGAGTACGGGTTGGATGAATGGACTGTAAAGTGGGTAGAAAACTGGCTGGAGCATCAGGCTCAGAGGGTGGTAGTCAATGGCTCGATGCCTAGTTGGCAGCTGGTATCAAGTGGAGTGCCCCAGGCCTTCATCAACGACCTGGAAGATGACATAGAGCGCAACCTCCGCAAGTTTGCAGATGACGCCAAGCTGGGGAGAGTAGTAGATACTCTGGAGGGTAGAGCAAGGATTCACAGAGACCTGGACAAATTGGAAGACTGGACCAAAAGAAAAATCTCATAAGGTTCAATAAGAAACCTTGTTGAACCTCATAAGATTTCTTTTGGTCCGAAGTCCTGCACTTGGGACTGAACAATCCCATGCACCAGTGCAGGCTGGGGCTGATTGGCTAAGCAGCAGCTCTGCAGAAAAGGACCCAAGGGTTGCAGTGGAGAATAAGCTGAATATTGGCCCTTGTTGTCAAGAAAGCTAATGGCATCCTGGGCTACATTGGTAGGAGCGTTGCTAGCAGATGGAGAGAAGCGAGTCCTCCCCTCTGTTCTGCAGTAGTGAAGGCCACATCTGGAGTCCTGTGTCCAGTTTTGGGCCCCCTTCCCCTATAGAAAGGATGTGGACACATTTGAGAGAGTCCAGCGGAGGGCAATGAAAATGGTTCAGGGGCTGGGGCACACGACATTTGAGGAGAGGCTGAGGGAACTGAGCTTTATTAGTCTGGAGAAAAGACAACCAAGTGGGGATTTGATAGCAGTCTTCAGCTCCCTGCAGGGGGTTGCAAAGAGGATGGAGCTGGGCTGTTCTCAGTGGTGGCAGGTGACAGAAGGAGCAATGGGCTCCAGTTGCAGCAAGGGAAGTTCAGGTTGGATATTAGGAAAAACTCTCATTAGGAGGGTGGTGAAGCACTTGAACAGGTTACCTAGATAGGTGGTGGCATCTCCATCCTTGGAGGTTTTTAAGGCTCTGCTCAACAAAGCCCTGGCTCATCTTCCTGCTTTGAGCAGGGGGTTGGACTAGATAACCCCAGAGAAAGAGCAGACAAACATTGGAATTTGCACATGCTGTGTCTGCACTGGATTCTCAGCCCACAGAGCCCAGGATGCTGGACCCTGCAGAAATCTATAGGACAGGCCTGGGCACGAGCAAGTCTGTGAAATATCAGCCAGTACCACAAAAAGCTAAATGTATCCCTGTGCCATTCCCCTGGGCTCAGAGGAGCCACAGGCAGTAAGTGTGCTGCACAGATTTTCCAGAAGTGACACTGAGTCAGAGCGGCGGTTTTCCAGGACGCCTTCGTAACATTTGGGGCTGGCTGAGCTGCCGTTTGGCTTGAGCTCAGCTTCATTAAGCTCCAGAGAAGTGGAAAGGAGGAGGTGCTCATCCTGGAAGTGCTAAGAGAGATGAGCTTCCAGGAGATCTGGGCTGGAGGAGGTGTGAATGGTGAGTCACTGCTGGATGGCTGAAACCCAGACACCTTCAGATACATCCCGCTTGGTCTGCAGTTCGCTGCCTCTGAACTGAGAACGATTTGGAAGTATGGTTTGCATATACTGTTCCGGTGTCATTTACTACTTTCAGTAGTGGCCAGAGGTCTGAACACCCAGGTCACATTTTCTCATAGGGATCGTGCCAATTCTGACCTTGTATCAATGCAAACTGGGAACCAGTCCACTGAAGTCCCCCACACCCCTACCTTTAAAATACAGGACTATTCCTTTGTTGGACCTGGCTGTCTTCTTCACCTTTGCTCTGAGCAAGAATTCATTAGGGAGACGCAGAGAGAGGCCAAGCACAAAGCAGAGACAGACAGACTTTAACCATAATTTTATTAAGGCTTAAATGTCTATCAGCAGGACGGGAGCTGGTCCAGTCGTACGACATAAACAGAATGACACTGTGTGTAATGCAATGGCTTTTCTACACCGTTTGCATGAGCAGAATGAGATCATTGCCAGTTACTTAATGCACTAACCACGTCCCCTCTTCGCTGCCTACTGGTCTCCAGAATGGGTGACCGATGGGCTCTTCACGTAGCTGGGAGACTACCGGGCACGGTGGGGTGTGGGTGCGGAGAAGGGGAGAAGTTGGGTAGTTCACGTGCTCTCAACCACGAGGACTTCTGCTAGTCCATGACGGAACGGCAGCTTGTCAAATACTTAAAATGGTTTTAAATCACAGGGAAGCTAGACACACAGTCCGAAAGGCACCTATGCTAAGCACTGAGCCGTTGGAATGGTGAGAGATGGATGGCGCGTGACTGGGCGGAGGTCAGGATCATATAAATACATTTTCCTTGTTAAAGAAGCTATGGCTTAAGTATCCTTGTAATCGCTTAGCTCCTGTGTGATGCTCTAACCCCCCGCTACTCTGTGAGCGTAAGAAGACCAGGTCCGCTTCAGATTACGGGCGACCATCTGGCAAGCTCTTTAAAGGACCACATCCTTGGACTGATCGAGAGGGACAAGTGGAAGAGCAGCGGCTCTTGATCTCGCCCTCCGAGCCATCCCGGGGGCTCTCCAGCCACAACCTTTCGATAGCCACAGAGAGGAGCTAGAAGTGGACCCTCAGCACATCGTGGGTGGCCACTGACCTTTTGCAATTCATGCACAGTATCGATAAGGACTTCTGCTTCTCGGCTAAGCATGGACGACACATGAGGTGGCCGCAGGGAAGCTGGTAGACGGGCTCTGTTTTGAAGTAAGTGGAAAATGTTTTACCACAGGAAGCACAGGCGTGGACTTGGCTGCTCCTGTCGTGCTCTGGAAAGCAGAGAGAAGAAAGAGCTCTGTCATCACAAGCTGGGTGAGATTACAGCATCACCTGCAAACCCATGGCAGGTTAAACTCTGGCACCAGATGTTCGACATGGGGCCTGACCCTGAGAAGAATGAACACCTACCACTCCTACCATGCTCATTTTGAGCACTTGAAGCTCATGGTAGCTCAGACTGGTCCCTCTTTTCTTTGAACCAGTTGAATAGGTTTAAATGCGCACCTCCCGCTTCCAAGAATCATAGTATGGAAAGGGCTAGAGCACACTGAAGTTTGGCACCACCAGAATTTAACTGAAGAAAAAAAACTAGCAAGTGGCTTTTCTCTTTAGCAGGATTCAAGTCTCTGTCCCCTTTGCCCAACCAGGGACTGAACTATGGACCCCTTTCTCCAAGCTCTGCAGATGTTGTCACCTGCACTGTGCGAACATATACACTTTGAATATCACTTTGAATTCTTGTCACCTAACAGCTATGAAGGTCTGTCCAGATACCACTGCAAAAGCCATGACTTTGGAGGTGCAGTAAAATGTTAAGAGCACAATGCTCCCAGGAAAAGCAGCTCAGAGCCACGCACACTGAAATGAAGCTGCAAAACCAAGTGCCCTTTGAGGGGGCAAAGCTGGCTCCAGGGTATTTTTGTGACACAGAAACAGCAACAAAAAACTCCCAAGTTCTCTGTGCTCATGAAATGATCTTCATTAAGCTCATGAAGAAGCGCACTGGCTTGAGAAGCAGGACACCCACTCTGCCACAGTCTTCCCATGCGACCTTGAGTGAGTCCCTTCAGTGATGGGTACAAAGCACCGGTGGCTCGAGAAGGGACAAGCTAGGGCTAACTTCAGTCTTGCCAGCAAGGGTAGCGAAGACACAGCAGGAGGGACTTCCAGGGTGGCTGGGCAAGCCCGTGGAGGGCTGTGAGCATGCACCAAGGATGCTAGTCCATGCTGACATCTGCACTGATGTGCCTGCTGCGGCTCACTACTCCTGCTAGCCAGACTGAAGCGCATGCAAATATTTTAATCCATGCTGCAAGCAAACCTTCACCTGTTGTGCATAAATACCTTTACGGCTCTCAGTGCCTAAGATGCTCATTGGTAAAATGGGTATAAACAATACCTTCCTGCCCTGCAAGAAGTACGGGGAGCATTAAGGACAGCGAGGTGCTCAAATGCTATAGCATGAAAGTACCTTAAGCAGATGCTACTAAGGCTACTTTGGGGGAAGACCCTGCTACGGAAATTCAGATGCTCATCATTTTTTAGCTCAGCAGAGAAGAAATGGCAGATCAGGCACTGCCCAGCGTAGCCTGCGGTTCCTGTTCAGTTCGCGCAGGGCCACAGGCTATTCTTCTACCCTCCCCTCAGTGATGCCCAAGCTTCCCTGGCCACACCTTACCTGGGGCAGTACTTGTAGTCCACGAAGTACTGCAGCTCCCCTCGCTATGGGGCTGCTGGTGGCCCTTTATTAACCTGGCTGTGAAGGAAGGCATGGAGCTGAGGGCAGAGCTCAAGGCAGCATCCAAGCTTTGTGACAGTTTCTGTTCGTGGGAGACCGGATCTGCAAAGAGAGGCACAGGGGCTGGGAAGAGACCAAGTATGTGCTGCTTTGCCATGGATCTTCTTCACTGAACACCCAGGCAGAAGTGCTCCCAGCTCCCTTCCCAACAGTGTCCGAGATCCCTCAGCATAAAAGGGTTTTGAAAAACCAATGTGCTTTGCAGAGGTCATAGCATTTAGGGGTGAGATCTCTGCTCTGTTGCTGCACTAATTCAGTGATGGACTGGACAAGGTCTTCCCCCTCCCCTCGCCTCCACTTCTACATATGCAGAAGGGAGAGAATGAGACCTCACTTATGCAGGGAAAAATGCTTTGAGATCTGTGGAAGAGCAGCCCAAATATACTTGCTATGTGTTACGCTGCTTCAGACCAAGGGAACTGAGCGCTGAAATCTCAGTTATAGCTCCAATCTGGCATGCACCTAGGTGTTATGGAGGATCTGGGCCTCAAAATGCCAGGAGGCATGGACAGCTCAGTAAGATCAGGGCTCACTATGCAATAGGATTCGGGCACCTCACTCCTTCAGTCCCTCTTGAAAACCCCAGCCCTTCTCCCTCTGCCCTTGCATGTCCTATTCAGTTCAAGCAGGGGAAGCCAGGACTGGTCAGGTCCAATTTCTGGCCCTGGAGCACTAGCTCAGAGCTCTCATGCTCGGCTGCTCAGGCAGACGGAGAACGATCATGCCAAAACAAAGCCCCAGTGTCATTTGAGGACCATTGGTGGTCACACTACTGGTTACCACTTTCTTTCAGAAACAAGCATGCATCTGAATTGAGGGACCAAGCTAGAAAGGAAACTGGGGAACATGGGGCTCTTGTGCAGCATACAGCATTTTTTCTCTTTACCTGCTCCTGAAGAACATAAACAAAGAAACCAGGTGCTAAAAATTAAAGCAATGAAGGCCAGGTAAGTATGGAAGATATGGGACTATGCCATTCAGGACAGGGAAAGTCTTTTAACCTGTCTAGGTATAAAACAGAACGTGAATGGGTGTCTTGGTGATACAAGTAAGTGCTACTGAGATACAAGAACCTAAAGATACAAGATCTGTAGGTTTGGCAGCAATAAAAATAACTATCGACTCATCCATCAATGAGCCCTGAACTCACAGTTCAGGCTCAAAACCTGCAGCTGTAATTCACCTTTAGCATGTTCAGGTCCCTGCCCCAGACAGACCTGGTTTGTGTCGTTTGTTGCCCAAACCTTGGTGATTTGAAATGAAACCTTTACAGAATGCGGAAAAGAAAATTCAACTCACCTCCAAAGACAATCTTATGTCCAGCAGGCATTTGCGAGCTGTGCATTCACACTGCAACAGACTTTCTGCATTTTACTGCCTCATAGATTCTTTGTCTCTCTTCCCCCAACCCACAACATGTATTCAGCTTAAATTTTCCTCTTTTTCTGGGGGATTACTAAACTACTTAGTAACTATACTGAGCAACTAGCCCAGTTTTTCTCAACGTTTTTAGGCTCAAGGCACCCCTCCATAATTTTCCCCGATTTTGACAGCACCACAATTGAGAACTGCTGGTAGACTACATTTGAACACAAAGTGGTTTCACAGTGTGTGTAGGACTTTCTCCCAAGTCCATCTGTTGATATAATAAAAGGAGGGATAAATTTAAAAGGTTTTGGCAACAGCCCCGAGATCTGAAATGAGAAGAAAAAGCCGATACCACTTCAAAGGAAGTAGAGTTCCTTTGAGGATCCCTTTGGTTGCAAAGAGGATGGAGCTAGACTGGTCTCAGTGGGGGCAGACAGATGACAGAACAAGGAGCAATGGGCTCAAGCTGAAGCAAGGGACGTTGAGTTTGGATATTAGGAAAAACTCTCTCACTAGTATGGGGGTGAAGTACTGGAACAGGTTACCCAGAGAGGTGGGGGGGATCTCCATCCTTGGAGGTTTTGAAGAAAGACCAGAGCCTAGGCTGGGATGATCTAGCTGGCCAACGTAGGCAGGGAGGCGAGGGGAGAAGGCAGGGGGAAGAGAGGGGGTTGTGCTGAACACACATCGGGTGTGGGGGATGGAGCAGAGTCTTATCTTCCATGGCACAGGCTCACGCAGGGGCTGCAGGCTCCCCACCTCATCCTCACTCGCCCTCTGCTGCGTTAACCTTCTCACAGCTGCCACCCCTTCTTGCATTACTGTGGAGCCCAGAAACATCCACTGCCTTTGGCAGCTCCCAGCCTGCAAACAAACCAGTGCTGCAGGACGGAGGCAATGCTGCTGCCTCATTTGGCGCATGTTAACTTTACAGGAAACTCGCTCCAGGTCCGATCGTAAACTTACAACTGGAGATAGGATATGGCAAGCTACCTCCTTCTACCTAGATAAGAAAAAATAAGCCAGGCTGATATCAGTTATGGAGTAAGGATTTGCAGTGGTTCTGAACCAGGTGTTTCTCCAGGCTGCCTTGGCACAGGGAACTGCCCCATGCTTCTGTTCTCTGGAGGGGCCTGCCAAGCGGGACTGGGAAGTCCTGTGGCAGAAAGGGGTGCTCCTGCCTGAGCTAGGTTCACCCCACTTCAGCTCTTCAGGTGCTTGATGGAAACAGGCATGCGGAGAGCAGCACTCCTGAAAGGGTCTCATGGCACCCAGTTGAGAACCACTGTTGGCAGGAAAGATGTAGTGTGAAAAGTAACCCTATGCCGGTAAGAACAGGTAGAGACAGAGTGATCCGGGGGTTAATAAACTTAAGACACAAATGAGGAAGAAAAATTGCCAGGAGAAAAGAAAATACTTTAAGTCAAGGACAAAGCCAAAGTCAAGAACGCTACCACCCCTTGTGAGCCAGGCGAGGCTGAATGAAGTCTTTGTTAGAGACTTGAAGAGTAGGAGCCACCAGTCTTCAGGAAAGGAGGGTGCCTTTATCTTGTGTATCACGCTCAGGCCCCAAGCCATCCCCCTCTCCCAGCAGTGAACAATGCTCAGAAGTCAAAGAGAGGACTTGAAAATCCATTGTACTGAGACCTATTGGGAGTGTCCCCTATGCCTAATGTGCCAGTGATACCCCCGAGGAGCTACAGTCCAGGGGGGCCAGGAGACCGACTACAACACCGTGACTATATCTCAGGCAGAGAGCCTGACACCGTGGCTGCTTCCCATTGCTCCCTCTGGACACTTCCTTGGGTTTCTGCACAGAGCAAGTGAGAAGGCTTCTCCATCAGAAACAACCTCTCCCCCTTAAATCGCCAGCAGCCCCTTGTGTGCCCTTAGGGGCAGTGCTACCCCTAAGCCTTTGCTAAAGCTTGACAGACATCCTGCGTGCTCTTTCTACTGGCTATTAGATCCGAGCGTCCCTGGTAGGGGCCCCATGGTTGGAATTCAGATTAGCGTTGTTGACTGGGATATGAGGAGTGTCCTTAAGCGGTGCTAGGGTAAAAGCCAATCTTCCAAGCCAGAAAACTCCACGTAAGGTTAGGACCACTGGAAACATAACGGGGAATAGGAGCCCAACTGCTGTCACAGAATCATAGGAAATTAGGGTTGGAAGGGACCTCAGGAGGTCAGATTTAGTCCAACCGCCTGCTTGTTCCATCCCCAACTATATCTAGCTGGGTCGTAAACATTTTCAAGGATGGAGACTCCACACCTCTCTGGGAGCCTGTCCCAGTGCTTTACTACCCTCCTCGTGGGAAAGTTCTTCCTAATAACCAACATCAACTTCCCCTGCTGCAGCTTGAGCCCATTACTCCTTCTGTCATCTGCCACCACTGAGGCCAGTCCAATTCCATGCTCTTTGGACCCCCCTGCAGGGAGTTGAAGGCTGCTATTCAATCCTCCTCAGTCTTCTCTTCTCCAAACCAAATAAGCCCAGATCCCTCAGCCTCTCCTCACCTGTATGAGCAGCCCCTGCATGATTCTACTAACCAGCTCACCCAAGGCAGCTAAGATTTCACCCTGCTTATCCCCATTCTGGGTGAGTGGCTTGTGTCTAGGCTAGTAAACCTGCAACCTGTTGGAAAATTACTGTGGCAAGGGATGTTCTTCCAGCCTGACACAGTTTGCCAATAAGACCTGAAAAGGATGGGGAGAAAGGAAATGCAGACCCAAGGTAGGGGAGGAAATCAAGTGATGGGAACCAATTACAGTCCCAAACGGGATCATATAAGGTCAAGAGGAGACTAGTGAGCTTTGGTACTGGAAAAAAAAAAAAACAATGCAGAAATTGTTGTAGATAATATTTAAAGGATGACTATGCTGGGGATGGGAAGAAGAGAGATTGGATGCAGATGAGATGGTAAAATCCTTTCAGAAGTATTTGACAGTAGCAAAATATACAAGCTCACAAAAAGGTCCCCAGTTCTGGAGTAGGAAGCTGCAGGACTTAGGAGGGCTAAGGAAAACCACACTTGGGAAGATGCATGTAACTGGTCCTGGGAGGTCAGGAGGGCTGAGAGACGCAGGGAATTATGAATGCAAGATACCTGTTGAACAGTCCATCTGGGCTGAGTGCGAGTCGCTCTCTGTTTTCATTTTTTTCGCACTGCTCTCTGAGGTAGACGTGACTAGTAAGTTTGCAGTAGAAAAATAGGAAGGTTGCAGGCGGCTGCCGTCATGGGGACTTTGCTCCATACAGTCCATTTTCCTTTTCAGAGAAGATATTGTGAGGGGAGAAGGTGCGACCATTTCAGAGTCCTGCGCCCTGCCGAGAAGGTTGGTGCCCGGGATGCTGTGCTGCAGGAGGAAGTGGTCTATCCTTGCCTTCAGCGTTGGGTGAGGCAGGGGCTGGGAGTGCTGGCTAAAGGCGACTCCCGTGAAGGGGTCGCTGGGCACCCTCCCCCAGGAGGCCTCGCTCCGGTTGCATTTCTCCAAGGTGCTCTGGTCGATCACCTTGCCCGAGGGCAGCAGCATGGGGAAAGGCATTATCTCCAGAGTGATGGGGTCCAGGAACTCTTCAGGGATATCCTGAATAACATCAACCAGCTTCCGGAGAGTCTGCTGCTCGCTGCCAGCGTTGCTAAAGGGCACACAGTCGCTTTCCATTGGTGTCCACGGCTCCGGCTTTATGCCGCCAAAGTCCTGAGTGTGGCACCCAGAGGCCACTTGGAACACACCGTCGACCAACTCCGGGGGGCACGACTTGGCTGGCTGGCCCCAGACCTCCAGCCTCTTAATGCAAGGCAGGCCACCTCCCGCTACGTGGGTGATACAAATCTTTAAGTGTGATACGTTGCTGAGTGAGGCTGGGCCTTTATTCCATAGGTCTTGAGATGCAGACCCTGGGTAGGAGAAGCCAGCTTCCATTTGATGGAAGGGAGGCCTCAGCTTGAAGCCTCTGTGGCTGAAAGTCACTCTGCTTTGATTTTTGAGCACGGCCTTCCCCACCAGGGTGAACACGTCTTTATCTGACACTGGCTGACTGGCCAGAGGCGAGAGCTGACCCTCAGGGCTGTTCCAAGAGGTCTTATTGGCTGAGGTAGATGTGTAAATATCGAGCCCGGTGAAGGTTTGGTAGCCTCCTGACGAGATATCTATGTTAATCCTGCAGATCTCTATGTTGAAGGGAAAGGAGATGGTGATGTGGACCGGAGGTTTGATAAAATATTCGCTGCGAAAGCCCCGATTTCTCCTTGCCAGGTCTTCAGAGATGAGGTTCTCCACTTCATATCCGTCGGCAGAGATCTGTGTGGCGAAAGAAAGGAGAAATTGGACTCGATCTGAACCCAGAGAAGAACGTGGTGTAGCCAGCAGTCAGCCAGTCTTTGCCAGACAAGGTGTAAATAAGGGATGAAATGACTGGCCAGGGAGGTTAAAACCCAAGCGTGGGTTCTGATCTCTGGCTCACATGAATTGCCCAGTTGTTCCTGTACGGCTACTTGGGAATAGTGGGCTGTGCCTGTCCACCTGGGGAAAGCAGGCTGTTAGAACAGCTGGCAGAGCCTAGTGCATTAAAGGGAACATGAGAATCCAATGGCAGGTACTCATTTGAGTCCCGTTTCTCTTTTGGGGTTTTTTGTTGTTCTCCCGCCCTGGCGGGGGGTCGGGCTAGAAGATCTACTAGGTCCCTTCCGACCCTTAATCTATGAATCTATTGCAAAGGATTCAGGATGTTCCCTCAGTAGAAAAACAAAGAGGCCAACATCAAGACTAAGAGGAGAGGCAAAGCCAATAGATTGCACATGATTTACTGGCCTTATGCTTGGAAGCACAGCCCAGCCTGCATGGGAAGCATCCTCAACTATGAAACCACATGCCTTCCAGCACAGTGGCTCAGTAGTGCCTCTCTGCACCTCCTTCCGAAATGCTTCCAAAGGGAAACTTAGGCGTCTGCCAAGGAATCTCACCATGTAGCCTGGCGAGCTGCAGTACCTGCTGTTTCTTACACCACATATGCATGGCAGCAGAAAAAGCCACTACCCCACCCCCTCCCCTTGCTCAAACCAAGTACCGAGTAAGTAGCTCCCTCCCATGGCTCCCAAGCCTAATCTAACCAAGACCAATCTGGCTGTTTCCACCCAATGCCAGAGCACACACTCATTTCCTCAAGCCCAGGAAACACTGGGAGCTTATACATGAGCAGCAAGGCTGCTCTGACGCACTAATTAGTTAGTGCCCCCCCCCCCCCCATTTTTAAAGTATGGGGATGCTGATACACAAGATGCTCCAAGTGCTTTAATTGGAGTGGCTCTAAGAGCCGCTGTAATTAAAGCACCCCCCCAACTCCCAGAGCACATGTATAAATGCCCACTATGCCTTTTTACTTTACCTTGTTGCAGTGAATCCTTGGCTTGAACTGTGGGAGGCAGGCATTTATGACCATCTTGGCAGTTTGAGAGCGTTCAGCTTCCAAGGGTCCGAATCCGCTGGGAAACAAAAAAAGCAAAAAAAGGTGGAAGTCAGTGAACAGTGAACGAGAGAAGGTGCTTGTGTGAACAATCCCGAGTGACAGGAGATCTCCAGGTCTGCTCAAAAAATGCAGTTCAGAGTCAAGTGAATAAGGCTGTTCATAATCCAAGAGACCCAATAACCGGTTGTGGGGGCTGCGGGTGAAGATCAAGTTATAATTCACCCGAGATTTGATGGATATACAGTTGAACATACAAGTATTTGGCATGAAAAAAATCCAGCATCTGCAAGCAGGCTGGCAAGTTGATTTTCAGCCTTAAGGGGAGCACAGCCAGGTAATTACAGGAAGTCTTGGGACCTCAATCCTGTCCTGGTATCCACTCAACCTACGGGAGATTTTCCAGAGGCACGAATAGGAACTGCCTGCCTCCCCCCCCATAGCCTGCTTCCTCATTCTGCCTTTAAAAATGTTTTCCCACCAAGTCACAGCCTGTTCTTTGCCCATCTGCAGAGGGAGCGTGGCCTAACGGTGAGGGCATCAGGCTTGGAATACACCTGGCTTCTACTTTGGTCTCTGCCACAACTTACTGCATGACCTTGAGAAAAATCATATCACCTCTCCATACCCACTGCCTCTTCCAGCCTGTGCCTGCCTTGCTTATTGAGACTCCATGTTGTCTTGGAGGTGGAAACTTGTGTTTGGACAGCAACCAGTGCAACGGGGCCTCAATCTCAAACACAACCTCCTGGGTTTCTTGCCATGCACGCAGCTCGTGGTGTACAGGGGTACAGCAAGGACCAATGTTTTCAAAGTGCTTTGAGATCTTCAGATGAAAGAGACCCCTGAATGCAAAATTAATAATCATTATACAACATTGCCTAAGTTACTTAAGGAAGCACTGGAGCTCAGGGATGTCAGCAACATTTTGAACAGCGACTAGAGATAGCTATTTTGAAAACAAGTCAGATGAGCATATATCTCCAACCAGAGAACTACATGCAGGCCAATGAGACCTTATTCTTTTAAAAAAATAATACTCTCTGCAAAGAAGAGATTTAACCTCTGAAACCAGCCTCGGTGCTTAGAGCTATCTTGTAAATCACAAAACCTGCCGCTTCCATCAAGAACAAAGAGCACCTGAAATGATCTTCAATTGAGGTTATTAGCTCAGCCAAAAGGAAATTGGAAATCCTGGGGGCACTTTGTTCTCGACAATGGGGCTGGAAAACAAGAAGGCAGGTTAGCAGATGATGTTTTGCTGTACCTGTCTATGGAAGTCAGAAATGGTGATTCAAGAGCCCAATTCAACCCAGGGTTGAAGGAAGGGCAGATCTCAATCACTTCCTGAAACAGCTGAGCCTGGAAGTTCGGCTACGCCAATGCCTGCCTGGCTGTTTTCCAAATCAGACAGTCTCATGAAAGCAATACTCAATGTTGCACTGCATCCAGGTAAGCAAAAAGAGGCACTTTCAAGGTTGCACAGCTGCAAACTGGGCATCTGTTTAACACAACATTAAGTATGCAATCGTCTACAGCTCACTGCTGGAGGTGCCGTGTCTCCAGACCTGAAACAGATGCCCCGACAGCCTGACTGTTAAAGGTCTCACGAAACTTTTGGTCCACAACCCCTCTCTGGCCACAACCCGTACAAGATAACTCAGAGGTAAATGCAATTCACTCAGTAGCTGAGAATTACATTATCATCTGCTCATGAAGGTATTTTCTTCCTGTCCCTAGGCAGGGGCCAGTTAGCTTATTTTCCAAATTCCTTTCTCTTCAATATACTCTCTTGATCCTAGCTCAGGGGCATATCCACCGTGAGAGCATGCCTAATTCTCCTAGGAAATCTACCACGCTCTTGGCCTCCACCAGATCTTGTGGAGATTAGCTGCAAAATCAGGATAGGTGAAAGCATCCTGGTGAACTGGAAGACTTTCAAGATACCTGTTCTCTTGTTGGGGTGCGATGAGAAGGCAGAAAGTATATGCTTCATGTCTCTCATCTCTCTGTGGGAGGTTGCTCCCCTCTTATCCCCCTGCAAACTGCCTCAATCTGCGCTCGTGCATAATTTGACCGGAGGGAGGCTGTGGATAGGTCGAGACCCCTCCCCATCAAGCTGATCAACAAGGTCTCATTGTTTTCTCATTGCCTTGTCTGTAACCATGGCATCCTCTCGCTCGAAGACCGTAAGCTCTTTGGGGCAGGGATTGCCTTTCTGGTGTGCACCTAACAACAGGCTCTGGGTTCAATCCTAGATCCACAGGTATTATGACAGCACAATAAAGACAGCAAGGTCCCTCCTCCACCTCTGAGCTCCCTGCTGTTTTGTGTACACACAGTTATAACCTGTTCAACACTTTGGGATCCCAACAGGGAGAAATGTCAATAGATTAAAAATAAAAACCCACATTCAAACAGACTGATCTCGTGTTAGTGCCAAGACTTATCAGATGGGAACACTGGGCAATTAAAATGCAGTTTGGCTTGTTAGGACCCCAACACTTTTGGGGGAGGACTCAAACTAGGTGCTACTGTACTGTAATCATCCCGCACTGTACTGTTAACAAGGTACCGTATAGTAATTAATAACCTCTGCACTGTACTGTTACCCTCTGCTGGAAAGATTTCTGGTCAAGACACAAAGTGTACTTCAGGCTAGTTTTGCAGAAGAGGTGCAACGTGAGGAATAACATGCTCCAGTGGAAGGTAATTTAGTCATCTCTTGTGCTAGGACAGAGGTGCCTAACCCCTGCCCCGTGGGCCAGATCCAGCCTATGGGGGTCCCTAAAGGTCTGGAAATTTGGTGGCAGGGGAGCAGTGGCAGAATTGTCGCTCCCATGCTGCTAAAAATCGATGGGAGTCATGGGGGCTGGATAATGTGACCCTGCACTCCCAACCATACCAATTTACAGCCAAATCCCAGCTGGCATGCCAGCTCGCACTCAGGGACCGGCTCTACGCTGCTCCTCCAGCCCATGGGGCCAGGAGATTGGGCACTGCTGTCCTCGATCATAAAATGAAGGCTTAGTGAGGACTTCTAGAGGCCACCTAATCCACACCCTGGTGCTCCAAGGCAGAATCGAGTGCTACCAAGCAATTCCCGGCAGACGTCTGCCAAATCATAAAAACTGCCAGCGAAGGCAATACCCCAATCTTCCTCCACCGTTCCAGTCCTTCCCAATCCTTCTGGTGAGGAGGTTCCCAGTATCTTATCTCAATCATCTTTTGTGCAAATAAAGCTGATTTTCTCTTGTCCTTTCTTCATTTTGGGCACGAATCAACTACCTCAACATGTTTATATTTTATTATTGATGCAACGCTACGTATTAAAATGTGTTTGCCCCCTTTCACCTCTTTTTTTAGACAAAAAAAAAAGCAGGTCCTTCACTCTTCTGCTGTGGGTCACGTCTTCTAAGTATATTGTTCTTATTACTCTCCTCCGGACTCCATCCAGCTTATGTCAGAATATACTGCAAATGCCCTTCGTAGTACACTCCTATTAATGGAGCCCCCAGGAGATTTGCCTTTTGCAACACTATCACATAGCTTGTGCTCCACAATAACCCCCAAAACGTGCTTGCTGTACCCCTGCTTAGGCAGTTAAACCCTCTGATTCTATCTGTGCATTTGATTTCTCTTTCTTCAGTTTAGTATTCTGAACTGGTCTTACCAGAAGGGGTTGGGACTGGCCAGTGATAAGACAGGAAAGCCTGGGAGGGACCTGAACCAGCAGGTAAAAGTCTGCACACTGGAAGAGCTGAGAAACAACTAGAGACTGCAACCTGGTAGGGAAAAGGAAGACAGATCAGACAAGCAATCAGTTTCCCAGGTGGAAACTGCAATGGGTGGGACAAAGATCGAGCCCAGGAGCAGGCACAAATGAAGGCAAGAGAGAGTGAGACAGCTTGGTAGAGTTATGGGGGAAGGGAATGGACCAGCTGGACAAGGAGACTGGCGGAGATGCAGGGACAGACTGGGCTGAGACGCCAGGACGGGTGAGACTAGAAATGCTGGGCAAAGAGACTTGGACAAGAGGCCAGGTGCGGGGAGTCCAGCACCCGCTAAATGTAGGCAATGGGATGGGGAAGAGTAAGCCACCCATGATCCCAGTCTCCCCTTCCCATTGCTATCGCTGAAACATGTCTTGCAGACCTCTCCCACTGCTCTGCAGAGAAGGGGCCCGACCACTGCCGGCTACTACGGCCTGCACAGCCGATGCAATGGTTCTGCCCTGAGAACAACCCCGTGGGTATCAACAAGTACCTCAGGGGGAATTTCCAGGGTGCTTTCCTCCCTCTCATTCAAGTGTAAGGAAATATGAGCTACATCAGAAGAACAGGAACCCCTCAATGGCTACGAAGTGCCAGCATTAAGCTTGCCTGCCCCCCCTTCACCATACCCCTACTCTTGCCGACTTTTAGGGCCCTCCAGGAGCGGCAGGGCTTGGGCCCACCCTTTACGAAGAGGCAACATACCCAGGCTCCCAACTGATTTTTGGGGGCAACCAGTGCAAAACAGGATTGGGTGAGATCAAAGGGTTAACACGAGAGTCTGGAAGTAACTCCAAACAGAGAGTCCCTCCCTGAGCCGACAGCTCCCCCACAAATTCAGCCTCAGTTCCAGCATTTCATAGCTTCACTTTGCTTCACAAAGTAAACGCACATTCAACCTAATGTTATACCTGGACCTGCCAGTGTGACACTAAAGTGTCTGAAATTACAGTGTAGCATAAAAAGATGAAAACTGCAGTTTATAACATGCTCCAAACTGCATCAGGCATGTTACAGAGCAGAGACCTTCTGGCCCGGAAGACTCCTTACTGCCAAATCTTAGATGCAACCCTACGAATGTGGAGGAAATATACCCCCTCTTCTCAGAGTATACACTCTAGCTCAGGGGTAGGCAGAATAGGGCCCATGGGCTGGATCCAGCCCACCAAGGGGCTGTATCTGGCCAATGGCAGGTCCCTCAGCCCCACCTGGCCCAGGCGTAGGGAGCAGTCTGGGCCATGGCATGTGCGGCTGGGTTCACCACCGCTGGGCACAGGGCAAGGCAGCCGAACTTGACTTCCTGGCAGCCCCGGCAGTGATGGCTCACTCTGCCCGGCTGCCACCACCAGCATCTCTGCCACCACTGCTGGACCCAGCTTCACTGCCCAGGCACCCCAGGCTGTCCAGCCTGCATCCACTGCTGGGGATGCTGGATGGAGCGGATGGGCAAGGTCTCCATAGAGGTCAGCCTGGGACCTGGAACTGGTGTCTCTGTGACAGAGATGTGTGGGGAGCTAATTGTGGCCCTGTCCCAGGGCCCAGCCCTGCGCTGTCACAGCTCCATGATCCTGGCCCACTCCTGGATGCCACTTCCCGCCTGCCCAAAGCCCCATCCCATCCACTTGGCCGAGTGTGCCTTGCCCGCGGGGGGTCCTGGGCCAGTCTCCATGGAGACCCCGCCTGCCCACCCGCTCCACCTGGTCCCCTGGTGGTGGGCACCAGGGCCAGATAGGATCAGTTGCTCCCCACCTTCCCCAGCCCACAACAGATCATCAAAACTCCTTAAGTGTCCCTCCAGCCCAAACAATTGCCCACCTCTGCCCTAGTTGGTGGCAACACAAACTCTTGCCATGCTGCCCAGCCTGTGTGATCCAAGCCCGACTGGGAGGGTTACCTTGGAACAGGGCAGCTGGATTTCCAGGTTCACTCGATCTTTTCCTAGGTGGGCCGAGAGGTCAATGGAGCTGAAAAGCATCAGCAAGGTGGGCACTGCACAAGGCGGAGGCCTCACTGTTAGACTGAACTGAGATGTGCCCATGCAAAACAGACCTGCCGTACGCAGCACATTTCTCCTCTCCCTCCCACTCCTGTCATGGCACATGCTCTCACCTCCACACTATCCACACACCTTCCTGCTCACTTCCACTGCGGGGAAAGAGCCGAGAAAAGGGGAAGCGCTGGAGTCTCTCCCTGTCCCCTGTGAAGCAGTGGGTCTGAAAACAAGCCAAGGTATGGGGGAGTATGACCTGACATCCGGCCCAGCTGCACTGGAATTGGCGGGTACAGCTGCACTACATGCAAGAAGTCTGTCGCAGGGACCGTGCACATAGCTTAGGATGCTCTCCGGCTGACTTCCCTGTACCAAAAGAGCATTACAACCATCCTGAAGTGAGCGGGCAAAAAAATGCACCGTCTCTCGCTCTGAGGAAGACGGAGGTGTGAAAATCTTATATTGTTAGGGCTTTTATTTATAAACAGAGTCATGTTGGGGTACATTTACAAGAGAAGAAGAGCACGGCATATACAGCTGTTGATGAGACTCCTAAGGTGGCTGTCAAACCAGCGCTGACTATGCAAAGCGCCAGCAAAGCTTGATGAACCACCGGAAGAGTAAAATAAGGATCAGAAACAAGAGGGAAGGATCTGCCCAGCTACTTCCCCGCTGGCAGGTTCCTCTGCAGTGCTGGATTTAGGTATCAGTCTTGTCAAATGGCTTCTTTTTAACTGACAGTGTCTATTTTTGGGGAATTGAGTCAAACACTTTGTGGCGCAGGTAATTCACCCTCTTTGCCCGGGTCTCTCTTAGCAACTGGAACCACTCCCAGAACTCCAGCTCCACCACCACGTAGCCCAGCCGCCGCAGCTGCCGCCTCTTCATGTTGTGCAGCCCCAGCAAGTGCTTTGTTTTGTAGCAATAGTGATTCCTGGCTACTACTTGGATGGCGAGCTTCACTCTTGCAGGCTGCGGCGTTGCTGGTGAGGAAGGATGTTCAGGAGAGGTCGCTGACTTGGTCAAAACCTTTAGGAGGGAGTCAGTCAGAGTAACCCCATCTGGAGATGCAGAATAATCCACAGGGGACGGGGTTTGCTCATCTCTTGCCCTCTTCTGCCCGTGAGTCTGCACCTCAGTTTTATCATAAATCTCAGAAGACCTGCCACTAGATTTCCCATTTAAGAGCTGATTCATTAAATCATCTGAGGGACTCTTTCCGATGTCCTTCTGCTCATCTTTAACCACCTGTTTATCTGCTGGGGAAGTTATGAAGTTAAAAGGTACTGGGTTTCGGTCTGGGTCCAAATGAACTTCTAGATCGTTTGTTCTGGTGTGAGGTAAGATCATATGGTTTTTGACATACTTGGGCCCACCTAGGATGTTCTCTAGGATAGTGAGCGCCTCCTGCACTTCTGGCTTTACGTAGATTTCTCGCTCTGCAAAACTCAACAGTACCTCGGTAGCTTCTTGCTGAAGCTGGGGCATAAGGCGACTGCCTTTGTAATCTGGGCACTCAATTTCTACACTGCCATCAAGAGTGAACAGGTCTCTTTTCAAGTCAAATTTAGTTTTATTGATTAACTGGATAAATTCATTGCTCAGGGCAT